TAAGTAGTGATTTTACCTCGATCTGGTTGAAATTTTGAACAACAGCTTCCTTGTCTAACTTGATTTTGCAACTTCAGTTTGAGATCCTCAGCGTGTAGAGGACTCGATGATGACAAACAATGAGGGCTGTAGAGGACTCGATGATGGCAAACAATGAGTGCTGTAGAAGACTCGATGATGGCAAATCACTGTAGAGGACTCGATGATGGTTTGTTCAAGTTGAGGGAGGATTCGATGAGCTAATATAACAGGGCTTATTTAATAGAAGAGTGGTTAGGGCTTTTTTTCAATTGGGCCGGGCCTTGGTTTTGATGGTAAGTCCTATTAGTTTTGATGTTATTTATATTATTTTTAACTTTAATCAAATGTTTTATTAGCTTTTAAACATTAACATAAGAATTAAAAGTGTCTTAAAAATAACACGACACTTAAAAATGTTCTATTAATTTCTAAAATAATATAACACTTTAAAATATTTTATTAGCATTTTAAATAATATAACACTTAAAAAGTGTCTTATTAGACTCTAAAATAATTTGACATTGAAAAGTGTCGTATTAGACTCACATGATAGGACACTAAAAGATATCAAAAGTAAAAGTCTTATTAAACTAAATCAAATAGGACTCATAAAATAATGTGTCGTATTAGTTTTTTTTTAAAGGACGGGTCTTGAAAAGTGTTCCAAAAAAGTGTCATATAAACCTCTTTTTGTTGTAGTGGGTCAACCCAAGATGCCAACAATGTATAAAGTCTTAATATACTGTTTATATATATGACCAAACAACATAGTTTTTATCTAAAAGTGTTGTAATAAGTTTATTGGATGCTTTTGAGCGTCTTACCAAATTTTTTAGAAGATCTTTAAAATAATACGTCATATTAGTTATTTTATAGGACATTATTTGAACAAACCACTACAACAAAATTAGGTTTATAGGACGCCCCTATCTCTAATCGTCCCAATAAATCGCTTTATAGGATTTAATTTATAAAACCAAAATATAAAGCGTCTTATCTAAAGGCGTTGTAATAAATTTATATGACGTTTTTACGTGTATTAACATGCTTTTTTATGATATTTCTAATACAAAACATCGCATTAGCAACTTTATAGAACACTTTTGAGAAAGTGTCCTATAAAATTTTTATAGAACACTTGTTTTATAGGACAGTTTTTCAAATAGTGTCCTACAAAATTGCTAATAGAACGCTTTATATTAAAAGTGTCCTAAAAAACTTATTAGGACGTCAAAAAACGTCATAAAAACTTATTACAACATCTTTAGATAAGAGACTTTATTTTTTGATCCTATTAACTAAGTCCTATAAAGAAGTCTATTAGAACGTTTAGAAGTTGGGAGCGTTCTATAAACCCGATTTCGTTGTAATGAATGTCTTACAAAGACAAGTCCCCTATAAAAATAAGTTAAGAATGTCCTAAAAGCATGTTAATTAGATAGAAAAAATGATGGTGGACGTGGTGTTGTGGACTACGTGAAGATGGTGGACGTACAGTGGTGGTGGTAATGGTGGGCGCTGGTAATGCTTGTGAGATAACTTCAACAATGGCTTTTTGCCAAAATTATAACCCCATCCAACAACCATCTAAATGGACTTCAAGACTTAAATGGGTGCTTTCTTCTAGTCCTGCATTCTTTGTTGCTAAGATTGTAGAATGCTTGGATTTTAAGTTGCAACAGGTTGGAATTAAAAAAGATTATGTAGGAAAGAATGTAACATTTAGATATAATGGATGTGAATGAGAACCACAGAACTTTCAAAACATAAACCAAAAAATGTCAAGTTACAAAACATAAACTTAACATAGCTAACCTAAAACAATGTCTTCAATCTTCCTGAATTTCTTGAAGGAAAACATCATATAATCAAACATCACCTAAACCCCGTTTACATGTCTTGACGGTTTGAGTTGCTACGTACGAAGCAAACAACAAAACATTCGGACCAACAAGATATCTATGCTGACATATAGAACATGAGAGTCCTGTTTCAACCTCGTTACAGGAACATTGTCCAAAATCCTGTAAAAATAGAGAGAAGTTTCTAAAAAGGAGTTGAGATTGCAGGAACATAATAACAAATCTCACATCTGACAAAAAGGTTTCAGCTATGGTCCTATGGAAAACTGATTGAGCTAAAACCAAATCATGAGACCCAAGATTAAACATCAAGTTCATCACGACACGTGAAGAGGGTATGATCCTTCGATTCAATGAAGTGTTAAAACAAAGCACATGAAGACAAACAACATAGCTGAAAAAAGCATGAAACTGACCATAAAACAAAAGAAACGGTAAAAGAATCACCTGTTACAATGTATAGTTTTTTGTGAAATAACTTTTTTGGCTTTTGGACCTCTCAAAATCATCCATGGAGACTTCTGTTGTGGTTGCCTGAATGTCATTCACAGCTCTATGTAGTAGAATATTTCGTCTTCTGAGGTTTGTATCGGGGATGTCAAACCATACGACTCAAGAAGCCATCTATAACCAACAATGCGCAGACATCGCAACTCAAAAATGCTTTCTGGAAGATGTCTTATGTTTGTACCTTCTATATTTAACTCTGTTAAGCATTTTAATCATCCAATTTCCTCCGGTAATTTCTCAATCGCAATATAAACAGGGAGAAGAAAAAACCGCAGAAGTTTCATATTACAGATGTTGTCCGAAATATGTCGTAGAAATACACACTCTGATAGGATTAGCTTCTCTAAACATTCTAATCGGCCAAGATCTTCAGGTAACTTCTCTAGAAACCAACAATGATCAAGTTGGAGATATTTAAGATGTTTTAGCTTACAAATGCTATCCGGCAGATGTGTAATCTTCGTAGACAACAAATTTAGCTCCTCTAGACATTCCAATCGGTCAAGGTCTTTGGGTGACTCTGGAATACCACCTTCGAGTGTAAGCTTTCTTAAATATTGTAAACCACAAATGCTTTGAGAAAAACACTCAAGGTTTGTGCAAGCACAAAGACCAAATGAAATAAGCTTCTCTAGATTTCCAATCGAGGGTCCATTTTCTTCATAAAAACATTCAAATCTAAAGTTTGACAAACTATTGCCGAAGTACAACGAGCACATTTCTAAGGACTCTGCCTTCAAATGTAACATAGATACACAACCAACTTCTACCGATTTAAACTGTTTCTTTAACAAAAAAACTTAAACCTTAAACAACCACTTAAGTCTATGTATCTAAGCTTTTTTGGACACCCATCATGTGCACGAACTTCTACCAGATGATAACAATCTGTAATACTTAACTTCTTCAGATTCAGATTCCACCCAAGGTCAATGGTCCTTAACTGTGCACCCATGATATCGATGGATTTGAGCTTTAGACATTCAATGTGAATGTGAAGTTCTACCAAGTCATAACATCCTCTAAGTCTTAATGTCTCGAGATTTGGTGCCCCTCGAAGATCAAAGGTCCTCAACTTAGAAGAATTGAGGATAAGGGATTTGAGCCTTAGACATTCAACGAGAATGTGAAGTTCTACCAAATCATGACATCCATCAAGACTTAATGTCTCGAGATAGGGAGTCCCTCGAAGGTCAAGGGTCCTCAACTTAGAAGACCTGAGGACAAGGGATTTGAGCCTTAGACATTCAACGGGAATATGAAGTTCTACCAAATCATCACATCCAATAAGACTTAACGTCTCGAGATACGGAGTCCCTCGAAGGTCAAGGGTCCTCAACTTAGAAGAACAAAAGACAAGGGCTTTGAGATTCAGAGTACACCCAAGGTCAAAGGTCCTTAACTTTCCACCCATGATATCAATGGATTCGAGCTTTAGAAATTGAATGTGAACGTGAAGTTCTACCAAGTCATAACATCCTCTACGTATTAGTGTCTCGAGATTTGGTGCCCCTTGAAGGTCAAGGGTCCTCAACTTAGAAGAACTGAGGACAAAGGATTTGAGATTCGGAGTCCACCCAAGATCAAAGGTCCTTAAGTTTTGAGCCATGATGTCAATTGATTCAAGCTTTAGGCATTCAATGTGAAGGTGAAGTTCTACCAAGTCATAACATCCTCTAAGTCTTAATGTATCAAGATTTGGTGCCCCTCGACGGTCAAGGGTCCTCAACTTAGAAGAATTTAGGACAAGGGATTTGAGATTCGGAGTGCACCCAAGATCAAAGGTCCTTAAATTTTGACCCATGATGTCAATTGATTCAAGCTTTAGGCATTCAATGTGAACGTGAAGTTCTACCAAGTCATAACATCCTCTAAGTCTTAATATCTCGAGATTTGGAGCCCTTCGAAGGTCAAGGGTCCTCAACTTAGAAAATTCGAGGACAAGGGATTTGAGATTCGGAGTCCACCTAAGGTCAAAGGTCCTTACTTGTGCACTCATGATATTGATGGAATCGAGCTTTAAACATTTTAATGTGAACGTGAAGTTCTACCAAGTCATAACATCCTCTAAGTCTTAATGTCTCGAAATTTGGTGCCCCTCGAAGGTCAAGGGTCTTCAACTTAGAAGAATCAAGGAGAAGGGATTTGAGCCTTAGACATTCAACGGGAATGTGAAGTTCTACCAAATCATGACATCCATCAAGACTTACTGTCTCGAGATACGGAGTCCCTCGAAGGTCAAGAGTCCTCAACTTAGAAGAACTGAAGACAAGGGATTTGAGCCTTAGACATTCAACAGGAAAGTGAAGTTCTACCAAATCATCACAACCTTTAATATTTAATTTCTCTAGATTCAGAAAAGGACCATGATCAAGGCTCTTCAACTTTGAATACTGAAACCTAAGGAATCTGAGCTTCTTAAGAACCTATCATAAAAAAAAGTAAGTATTGATGTAGTAGCAAACCAAACCAAACCAAACCAAAAAGTGAATCTTATAATGAATCATGCAAAACAATAGTTGGACCATTATTCTACCTTTGTTTCTCCCCCTTCCCAAATTTGTACAATTGTGCTTTCCTGCATGCCAAAAGGGTAACCATAGCAGCTTAGATATCGTAAAGCATTTGGAAGGTATTGGTAAACTTCATCAAATTCCAAATCGGAATCATCACATTTAAGATACAGCAGAAGATATCTAAGATTCTTATGTTTCCAAGGCCTTCCATAATTTCTGGATCGAGTTCTGAGTTTGTAATCCATTCTATATTTGTTGTTGCTTCAGTACCCTGTGATCCAAAAGCAGTGACCATGAAACTTGTGTCATAACAAATGAAAATGTGTTAGTTTTCTCAACCCTACAAATGAAATTGATCTTTACCTGATTATTAACCAATATATCTTTAATTTCGTCTGCAATCCACAATCGACTATGTCTGTAAGGCTCCCCTGGGTGCAAGCGTCGAACAATATTCTTGCTCATTTCTTCTATATGGTCATGCATGCCTAAATCCCCATATATAGAAATAGTTATGAGAGATTTTTGCTTAAGAACTCTTAAACCATTTCTAGCATGAAGTCCACAGCTTTCAAGCACTTCGATTGCGTCCTCTTTCTCCCAACCTTTCATTATACATGCAACATCTAGGAATATTTCCTTGTAATCCTCCTGTAGACCAATATAGCTTAATTCCAACTTTTCTAAAGTTTCCTTTAATGGAATTGTTTTTAGTCTTTCTATAGTATCTCTCCATTCAAGCTCATTTTTACCACACAAAAACGAACCCAAAACTGTGATCGTTAAGGGAAGTCCAGCAGCATAACTTGCCACTTGTTCCGATAGCACTTTGTACTCTTCAATTGGACTCTCTCTCCCAAATGCATACCTACTGAGGAGGCAAATTGCTTCCTTTTGAGATAAAAGATCGACATAACGTATCAAGTTCACTCGATGTGCTACCAACACTTGCTCATCTCTTGTTGTGATGATAATTCTACTTCCCTTATTAAACCAATTAAGCTCACCCGCTAACGCCTTAAGTTGGTCTATATGATCGACATCATCGAGAACAACAAGAACCTTTCTACAACACATCATCTTTTTTATCATCTTTTTCCCATCATGAACATCACTTATTTTGATGTCCTGGGCATTTAATACATCTTTAAGGATTTGTTTCTGTAACTTCTTCAAACAGGATAAATTGGGATTTGAATTTTCCCTAACATTCTCAACAAAATTGCTACCTTCGAACCGAAAGGATATTCGATAAAAAACAGCTATCGCCAATGTTGTCTTCCCACCACCTCCCATCCCTTTGATTCCTATCATCTGAACGTCATCAAAACCAATTTCTAAAGTTGAAACAACATCCCTTATTCGATCCTCCATGCCAATTAATTTTTCATCGACGCTGAAATTGATGGATCGCAACTCCAGTGAGATATCTTCAACAATTTTTTGGATAAATTTAGCTTCATGCATGTGTATTTAAAGAAGACAAAATTAGCTTGCTCAAAATCCCACATGAACAATTCATTTAAATTAAGATCTATAAAATACATGTGAATACGAAGTAATTAAGAGATTCATGTAATCATATCACATGTTTTATCTTTCAACAGGGACTCAGGTTTGAGTTAGAATTTGACAACACAACATGATCTCCCATGGATGACCGTTTCACATCATAGGATAAAGGTAGATTACAAAGAATTGGTACGAAATAATATGGTAGATATATTATATATGGATGAATTACCCATCTACAATGTTCTTCAACCCAAACCCAGAAAGATTGGCTGCTTCTTTTAGAGCCTGTCTCCATTTTTTAGCAGCCTCTTCCTTTTCTTGTTTAGCAAAGGCTTTTCCAAACTCCCCACTTTGTTTGCGGACTTCAGTGGGTTCTACAACATAAAAGACTGGGTAAGCAGTATGCTCAGTCGTCTTCTGGCACTCCATAATCGTTACAAGCTCATCCAAGCACCAAGATGAAGATGCATAGTTCGTGGAAAAAACAATTATATAGAATTTTGAGTCTTCAATGGATTTGATGAGCTCATCACTAATCCTCTCCCCATTCTTGATTCTCTCGTCATCTTTGTAAGTGTGGATGCTTTTGTGTTGAAGAGCATGATAGAGATGATCAACGAATGTCTTACGAGTGTCTTCACCTCTAAAACTCAAAAAAAAAACATCATACTTAAATCTCATCTGAACGGATGAAGTCGAAGAAGACGCCATTAAAGTTATGCTTGAAGGATTCTATAGAATATGTTGCTTGGTGATTAGCTATGCTAACAACAAAGAAGTGGTGAAACAGTAAAACAAGGAGCAAAGGAAGGAGAAGCAGAGAGCAGAGTTATAATCTGTTTGTAACACTTGAAAAGGTACATGGTTTCAACATTAAAATATTTTATATACTTCTCCTACCTCTGTTAATAGAAACGTAAAAATCTTGTACCTTATTTTTCTGCTAATTAAAAAACAGGTTTGAAAGACCCAAACGGGTGAAAGTGTGAAACCAAAAGGGATAGGAATAGGAGAGGACAAGGCTTAGTCGATTTATATTTAACCGGACAAGAGGGTTGAGCGGTTTAGTCCTAAACCGGACACAGTGTAAGCGATTTAAGTATAAACCGCTCAAGTGTTAAGCGGTTTAGTCTTAAACCGAACAAGTGTTGAGCGATTTATGATCATTGAGTTTATACTAAGTATTTTGAACGGAGAAGTAGGAATACGACTAAATGGTGACTAGATTGTTTTAAATCGGACAAGCCTTGGGCGATGTGTTGTCCGGACTTGTTATCCAAACAAAAGTGTTGGAATTTATTCTAAGTGTTAAATCGGACAAGCCTTGAGCGATGTGTTGTCTGGATTTGGTAAACCGACCAAGACTTGACCAGAGATGAAGTCTGGCCAAGCCAAGTTGACCGGATTTGTATTATGCCTTGTGCTTGATTGATAAAAATTGTTATTTTATCATAAAATAAGAATTTTGATATAGATGATTTTGGATTGAAAATAATTCCATTGACTGCGGTCTATTTGGAATTGTTTTTATAAAATGTTTTGATGAGGAAATAAGGGTGGCATGTCAAGGAGAGGTGTACCATGGGATAAGGGTGACATATCAAGGAGAGTTGTACTATGGGATAAGGGTGACATATCAAGGAGAGGTGTACAATTGGATATAAGGGTGACATTTGTATGTGTGTTATATGATATAACTCTTTCTATTATATCCTTTAAGATTACCGTGGTTTGGAATCTTTATTTCTTTGTGATTTAAAGATTTAGGATCAAGGTTCTTATTAGAAATCATAGTCTGGATGTTATTGAGGAGAAAATTACAGGTTTGGCCTAAAACTTTAAATAAACCTTGTTTGATTTAAAAGTAGCATTATATGAAACCTGGTTTGTTCAAAGGTATGTTATTTGAATAGTTGAATACTTGGCTTGAAAAGGGGAAGGTACTGGTAATATGCCCCATTTGTTCATATATTGCTTATATATGTGAAAAGTTGTTTTATTTAAAAAGTTTTGGTGATTATCACCCTGTAATAACTTAAGTAGGGTAACTCACTAGACCTTTCGGTCTAGCCCTCATTGTAACATCAGTTACACTCTTTAAATAAAAGAAACTATTTATCCAAATAAATATTTCCATAAAACAGTCTCCAAGCAAATACGGGATATATGTTATAAATTTCCACCAAAAGACAAAATAACATAGTCTGCAAAAGACGATTTTCAGTACTATAAGTCGGATCCATAAAATACAAATATATCTACTCAA